CTCTCCATTTTTTTAACTGGGTTCTTGTATATTTCTTCTTCTTTTTCACTGATCTACGTGAATTTAAGCAATTTATGGAATAAAAATTGAATCTTGATTCTAAAATGGCCTTCCCCTGGTGTTTACATTATGGCCCTGTATTAGGTATATATAGTACTGTGCAATGAGTCGCACGTGCGAAAAAAAATTGCAGCTGCAGCTTTGTCTCGTGGCTGGCACGCGTGGGACACTTTATGTAGACAGAGTTTATTGAAGGGATATTGGATTTGTTTTTAAATTTTACTAATTCTTGAATTAAAGTGTGAAATGATCTTAAGCTTGTCATTTAAGTAGTCAAACGAAAAGAGATTTTTGAGGCAACTTTGGGAGTAGTGTGTTATTTATAATAGTTATTTCAGATATTGCAACTTTGAATTATTATTTTATAATATGATACCCTATAGGAACAATACAACTGGTGTAGCTTATTTGCATGCAATGGGTGTTATTCAAACCATATATTAATGTGTTTCTATTTTATGAAAATTGAATTTTTGTCCTTAATTTTTGATGCAAGTGTACCTATTTACAGTTGATCAGTGAAACTATTGTTATAATTTCTCAAATATGTTTGAGAAAATATGTTTGAAGTGCAATTTGTGTATGACTCTTCAAATTGTTACTAACATTCAGTGCTGTTACGAGGCTGATTAAGTAATTAAGGATCATTCCGAAGAAATGGCATTTTTGAAGCTGCTTGTAATATACTATATATATAGTAGACAATAGTAAAATTAATTAAGATTGTAATGTTTACGGGAAAATGGTTCATTAGGTGATGTATGGTAATTTATTTTGAAATGGCACCAATTTTTNTATTTTAATAAGGACAAGCAATAGGTAATTTTATGTATAAAAGTGATTTATGTATTTTCTCGTTAAGTTTTTAGATATTTGTTTTAATATAGTTAACTTATGTAAAAAAATAGGTAATATTTGTTGCATATATTTATCACCTTATAATATTCTTATATACATAGCGTAGAATGATTGGATGTGTAATATTTATCCATATAATTAATTAATTTTTTATGGATTATTCCAAAAATAAATCCCACCAAATGGATTTAGCCAAAAAAATTACACTATTTATGACCGGACTATAACTTTGAAGTCCTGATTAATTGTAAATTATTTCAATTAATCTTCTTTTAAAGTAATCATTGTTACTGTGTGCTATATAGGTCGGGTGAAGCTAATAGCAATCAAAAGTTTTCTTGTTGCACTTTCTCCAATTGCTTATTTAGATGATTTTGGTACATTTTTTTTTTTTTTTTAATGTTCAATTCTTTTATATCAACTATATATAGAACAGTATTGAGGATTTGAATTTCATTTTGAATCTTTCCATATTGTTTAAATAAAAATAAATAAATAATCAATGAAAGGTTGTTTATCAATTGTTTTACACCATACATATAATATTTTATTGTAGCATTTTGGTAGACATTGTAAGGACTGCCCATGCTACCACTACACCTGCAGATACCTATTTGTAGATCAAAGCCTCCCAATTTACAGTAATAATAATAATAATAATAATAATAATAATAATAATAATAATAATAATAATAATAATTAATTTTGGAACATTTATTGTACATATTTTTTGACTTTGCAACTTAAAAATATTTTTTTTTTTATAAAATGCAACTCTAACTTTATGAATATTCATAATTTTGCAGCATTTCGTACATTTTGACCATACAATTATCCGCCAAAACACACGTGTACGGTACAGGTGTACGAAATTAAAGATTTTTAAATTACGAATATCCATCAAGTTTAAATTGTATTTTACCCGGAAAAATAACTGCAAGTTCCAAAAACATGCCTGCTTGCAAAAAGTATTTCACCCTACTACTACTAATATTAATAATAATAATAATAATAATAATAATGGGCAAGTGACAGTTTTATGACTGGCAGATTCAGAAATTAAGTGTCTCTAGATATAATTTAATTAGTTGATTAATTCTGTCGACTACACTTTTTTCACATACTCTCCTTTATACTATTTTATTTTATTGTATTTTTAGTATTGGGATTGTGTTAAAAGATTAGCACCTTTTCATTTGCACTACAAAAAAGCTATAAG